TTACCTGAAGATTTACTTTCTCTGAGTAATAAGGGCCACAGATTCATTACAAAGGGTCCTGAATTTATTTGCCACTTTGGAGGCATAATTAGACCCATCAGCCTGACTTAATGTCTAGGTATAGGTGTTCAAGCAGCCCACAGCGGAAGCACTTTAACTTTCAAGCTTTACTCTAAGCACCCATGGTTAAGTCAGGAGGAAGCAGAACACACATTAGCCCTTGGGAGGAGGGGGTTCAGCAGGAAGGGGAGCTCTTGAGCCTAGCAGGTCGGGGGGAGGGCTCTTGCATGCCTCCCATTGTACCCCGCGGACTCCCTGGGCTGCCAAAGATTCCCAAGAGGAAGCGAATGGCCAAATCAAGTAGCCAACCACTCTTTAGGTACTGTGCACAGATACTGCTGGGTGGGTGGGTGTGTGTGTGTTCTCTGTGTGTCAGATCCCTGGAGGGAGGGAGAGGGAGAATGTGTGCGCACTCATGCATTCACACAACACCTGCATGTGTGTGTGTCTGATGCCCAGGTTTTACGTGTGCGTGTTTCTGATGCACGAGACGAGCTCTGGCCTAAGTCAGGTGAATGGGGTACCCCAATGTTCCATAGAATGTCAGCAGAATGCAACCTACCATAAGTTGTGATGAGATTGGTCCAGATGTTCATTACAGAGCTCTAACCTACAGCACTAAAGTCTAATCCTACATCTGCCACTTTGAAAATGGAACTGCCATTTCAAAATGAATCCACCACTTTTACAGCACTCTATGTGCTTTGACCGTCTGTTTGGTTACGGTTGTAGAGCACTTTCTCTACACGTAACCACACAATAAGTGCAACTTCTGTGCTTCGCCTCCAAGAACAACTCAGGATGGTTTTTAGTTACGTGTTGGTGAGTTAACAGAAATGTCCATATTTCTCATTCGAACCTGAGGTCATATCAGCTCAAAGTTCATGGCATAAGAACTGGTCCCCAGTGTGCTAGATACATGAAATTCATTGTGCTGAGAAAGGAAACGTTCAGATAAACAGGGAAAACACATACCCAGGTATTCATATCCAGTACAGTAAGATTTCCTAGCAGTGAATGTTAAGAGAGAGTGAGAATCATAATTAGGCAACAATTAAACACAGATACTGGTTTCAGTCTCCTTCACTGAAAACTGGCAGAATTGAACAGTTCTCTTCTAAAGGAAGCATCAGCCAAACTCAACATGAAAAAGTAACTGTGTACACAAACTGACCTCTATGATTACACAAATTGACCTTTATGATTATATAGCAAATCTTCCCCAAAAAGAAATGTGATTTTTAGCTATTTTATAAAACTGTTCATGTCCTCAAGAAGACAGTTTTGACATTAGGAACATACATACACTTTTGTCTTACGGGGTCTATAAAGCCACCTTAAACAAATGAAAAATGTAGGCTTGACACTTAGTAAAGAAGGGAGAGATGCTATAAAGTTGAATATTATTGCTGAGGGCTGTCCAATGGATATCACCCACCAGAAGACAGGATACTCCATTGCTGCGAATTCTTCTAGAGGAGGTAGGAACTAAGAAAAACTGTAGCGAGAAGAAAATGGGTAGACACTTCCTTCAAGGGCTTCAGTAAATTTTCTGTCAATATAATAATTCATGGCCTCTGAACATAGCTACAAATGTAAGGTAGTAAAGAAAGAAAGAGAAATTCTTGAGAACAACCCTGCTGTCTGGAAAAGGAAAAATCCTCCTATTGCCAGAAACTACACTGGAAAAGATTGTCGGCCCAAGATAAAACATATGATCAATAAATAACGGGGATGATGGGCTCTTTTACAGACAATGATAACTTCTTCCCTGTTGATGGGTGCCTGAATAAATTTGGGTATCTCTGTTTTGGACTAGATTCTTTTCTCAGAACCTCCTGGAAATATACCAAGTCTAGCACTATTCTGTTCCTGCCGAGTTTATTTATGAGCATGAATAGGATACAGTAAAAGCTTCACTCTGCATCAGGTGACAGGCAGCTTAAGGGCTGTTCCCATTCTTTCCTGCCTTAAAGGACAACAAAAATGGCATGAATCTCAGCCCCAGAACTTTGATTTGGCCAATGAAGCATCTCCCTTGAATGCTCTCCAAAACCTCTATGGAAAAGACACACCAAGTATACGTATGCTGAAAATGACAGCTGAATATTTATATATAATTATATGCTTCATACTACAGAGGAAGAGAGAAACTCCCCAACAGTCCTTGCCAACCTAACCTAGGGGAGAATTCCTTCTTGATCCCAAATCTAGCAATTGGTTTCTGAACACATAGGCTAGGGATAAACATTCAAAAAGCCTGAGCCTGAATTGATTCAAACTTTGCAGGTTAGTCTAGCCTAGGTTGAACCAATTTGCAAGTGTACAGACATTCCCTCAGGACTGAGGAAATGCAGGCACATGCCTGCAGTAGCTCAGGCTAAAAGCCAGGGGATGGATGGGGTGCTACAGCAGCCCTCTCTTCCTTTCCATAGTGCTGAGCAGAGGGAGGGCATGGCCAGGCCCCCAGCAGGATGTTTTGATTACTGAGGGGTTTCAACCCCAACCCTGCCTGCACAGTCTCAGACTTTTCCCTGCTCACTGCTGAAGGGGTGGGAGTGTTGCAGGACCCAAGCCCCAAGCTAGCTCCCTGAGGCAAGAAGGGGGAGGAGGGGTGGGTGTCCAATGCATGCATCTGTTGATGATACTGAATTTTTCAATCTCCCTCCCCTGCTTCTTCATTACTTCTGCAAACCTGATAGGCAAGGTAGCCAGCAGTCAGCTGATAATACAACGTTCAGCAGCCCATCAAGAAAACAAAAGCCTCTCCCATTGGTTCAAGCTCTTCTTAAATAGCTTTTTCCAAGGAAGGAAGGAATGGACATTACCAGCTAAGCTGGTGATTGGCTCCAAAAAACCCTAAGCAGACACTGTTTGTCTGCCTTTCTCCTGTCCCAGTGAAACTGGAAACACACACATACACCCACACACCTCTCAGCATTAGCTAGCGTACCACATGCCTAGGGTCCATGGGGCTAGGGTCTGTGTTGTGGGAAATGGGAGGCAGGAAGGGGGAGATCCCTGCTTGAGCAGCGAGCAGCAGGGGGAAGGGGAGGAGGGCAGGGGGAAGCAGTCTCTGCCAGAGCTCAGGCCAGGAAGCAGAGGAGCAGGGCCAACCCTGTTCTCTGGAGCAGACAGCCCAGCCCAGCCCAGCCCAGGACTGCAAAGCATCTGGGTTGCTGGGGGAATCTGGTTTAACTTAAACCAGGAAGGGGTCTGGGACAGACATTGCATAAGTCAGTTTGACCCAAATCAGTTAAATCTGTCACTACATTCAACCACGTTAATCTTAAACCAGTTTCAGCCATTTTTAAACTGATTTATGTGCACTAAGCTTATTTTAAACCAGTTTCTGATCACTTAAACTGGTTTATGTGTAATGTCTGTCCTTAGCCATAAACAAGACCCACAAGTCAGAAACCATTAGAAGCATGAGTTTATCACAGGCCATGTTCAATGCTTCAGAGGCAGGTAAAAGGCATAAAGGTGGTTTGGTTAACTGTCCATAAAACTGCCAGTACAGATATCAAGGAAGAACACATTTAATGAGGCCCTTGGTGAAGCAAGAGCTGTTGGAGTATTTCCCAGAGAGAAAGGTCTTGCAGTCTAGTTACTGAGGAATTCAGCATGGACTCCAAGGCTTAACTCTGCTTTATTTTAATTTTCCATTTCAACTGTGAATCGCTGCTTTACAATCACAGATATAAACAGGCAAACAATTAAACAGGGAAACAATTAACATTCAGAGCCTTCACAACATTACCCAGCCCTTAACGTTTTCTCAGCCACGGTCCCCTTGGCAGGTGTCTAGCATCAACATTAGAAGTAAAATCCCTCAGGCTAATCTTAGGCTGGCCTGACAACTCAGGGCAGCAGCACAAAACAAAACAGAGAGAAGATTGCCAATTTAAGAGTCTTAATGGGCAGTGGATGAGGAAAGGAATGCATTTTAGAATCTTTAAAAATAATAGTTTTCCCCCTGCACAATATTTTCTTGGCCAGTATTTGTAAGCGATTCCAGGGCTGTTGAATTATGAAAGAAAACAACCCAGAGCTCCTGGAGTTTTGCAATTATCAGGGGATTCTGTGGCCACAGAATTGCAGATGGCTACATGCCACAGAAATCTACCACAGAATATTTTAATTCCAAGGGTTGTAGTTAGAGGTTATTTTAGCAGACAGCTACTCAACTAAATATATAATGGAATAATTTCAGGGAACAGTTATTTAAAACTTAAGTACTGAAGAGTTACACATTTTTATTATATATTTCTTACAGACAGAGAGAGAGAGACGTTTAAATGGGTTCCTAATCAAACACAGAAACAAACTGATACATAATGACAAAGAATGTTAAAACAAATTAAAAGTGGTTACCCTCTACTTATGAATATTATGTATATTTGCAGGTCAAAATACATTTCATAATGCTTATTAAAAAAAGGAAATTATTGCTAACTGCTTTTATTCTGATTTTTAAGACTGAAATAAGCAAGAGTCAATTGCAAATTTTAGGCATTATTCCACTATATTTGCTTATGAAGAATACTTCCCAGTTTACACAGGAAATTATTCAAAAAACTTAGATAGAAAGTAAATATTTCTACATTCCTGTAACTGCTGCCTTAATGTCATATTTATAGTTTCAATATGCTCTAAAAATATTATACATCACTATATACACACACAAATTATAACCCTACCTCTTCCTCGCCATTATACAGCACACTTCTATATTCTTTGGAGACTTCATGTTCAGATGTAACACTGATTTTTGAACTACTAGCAATAATTTTGAACTTCATGACACTGTACCATGAAAAAGGTCTACTTCATTAAAAAGCAGAAGATGTTCTTATCTCAATCTCAAAATCAAACAAGTGGGCAATTGGCTGCTTCACATAATTTTTTTAATAGAAATGGAAATACTAATGACATACCTGAAAAAGAACATGAACAGAGCAGCCGTGATGCAGAACAAAAGGACCTATAAGAAGCAGAAATAATTTTATTAAATAAAAGGCTGTACTAACACTACAGGCAAACCCGTTTTAGATCAGAGGCACTCTCACAGATATCAAAATAGAAGTTTTATTGTCACATTTCATGCTCTATAAGCCTTATTCAAGTCTACTAAAATTAACATGGAGACATTCATTGATTTCAACAGGCTTTGGATCAGGCAACATATGTCAATATGGACTGATGGATATATATATGCATTTTCATTCATTCATATATCTATATATCTATAGATATATCTAGATAAATATATAGATAGCTATAGATATAGATACAGATCTCTATATCTACATGAAAATGCACAGGGAGCACAGTGTGGAATAAGGGGTAATTCCTTTTTTTTTTTAAATCAATTTTCACATGACCTACTAGGTGATTAAATCATTATACATGTATTCAAGCAAAAGAATGGAAGGATACCAACTTTTGTGGAATAAAAGTTAATTTAGGTTCCTGAAGAATGGTTAGTAAGTTATTCCATCTGAAAGACCATGAATATAATTTTCAAGGTCATCATCAGAACAGGAATTTAGAACCCTTATCATAATTTAAATTTCACTGTATTGGCATTTGGAATTATAATCATCCAGAGATAAAGAGGACAATATATACACAAATATTATTCAAATAAAGCTGGAAATACTTAGAGCTTCCTTTTGAAAGCTATTCTACAATAAACATGTTATTGATCTAAACCCCCAAATGCTTTACAAAGCTATTCCTCCACAAAAAGAAAAGAAAAACATGGACATTAACATGAAAGGGGGAGGAGAATAAGTACAGTGCATCTCTTGCTGGACTCTGCTGGTCCAACAGAGTGCAGAGCATGCCCTCTTCACAATCCCAACCAGGACTGCCTTATGCACTGCTGCCATCTGTTACCAAGACAACTAAGGAAGCCTGCAGAGTATGCTGAAACGTGTGCACAATCCTCCTTTCCAACTGCATAATGTCAGTGCTGCACACTTTCCACACTCCAAGGCTTCACTATTAAAATGTCTGCACACGTTTCTGGGTAAGTTCCTCTCCCAGGAGAACAAGCCTGGGAGAATACTCCTACATTATTTGAATGTGAGTACATAGCCGTAATCTATGCTAATTTACTACGTAGACAAACCCTACGAGAAAGGAAATAATTGCGTTTGATACTGAATGCAATAGTGTTAAAAAGATATGGACAAATTGCAGGGATTTTTGAAAAGGGCAATAACTATATTAAAAAAGGTGATGAAAAGACTGAAAAACCAAAAAAAACAAAATCTTAGCTAAGTGAAGGCTAAAGGAGGCCACAACAATATTAGTTTTATGCATGAAGGGTGTAAACACAACAAGAAGAAAAAGATTTTAAAGGGATGTATGAACATATAAATAGAATGTGATTAAAGGGAAAATTCAAGGTAGATTATCAAGGAAAATCCTTACATTTCCACTGCTTTTGACTTAGAACTAGCTTGTGACACAAACCTGTCTGCAGTGTCCCCCCAGAGGCCTGCTGCCTGTCCCACAGAACAGCCCAAGGTTTGCCCTAGCAAAACCCTTTATCCTCAACAAGACTCAGTACCACTGCCCTTACAACAGATCTCACAGATGGAGCAGGAGAATCTCTGCTGGCTCCAGGTGGCTTCCCTTCGGGTGAGAGAAATTTTAGGTTCCCCTTTCCATAGAATGGGCTAACTTGGAATATCACTTGCCCAGAGATCACTCTTTACCATAGGAATGGGCAATTATTTTGGGCAAAGGGCCGCTGACTGAGTTTCGGCAAGGCATCAAGGGTCTCATGACAGGCAGCCCAGGGCAGATTAATATTAATTTTCTAAAATTTTTAGGGGCCTCGTGGGCGAGATAGAATGACCTGGTGGGCCTAGGATAAAAGAATCATACAAGATAAAGGGATCCTAAGTTTGAAGACAGAACAAAAAGATTAGCAAAGTTCCTTATTCTCTTATCTGGCTACCACCTAGTCTCTTGAAAGCGATGCCAATGTTTTCAGAGATCAGTTTTCCTGCTGATTTGGCTAGTCCTGGCTGCTGGGCATCTGGACTCCTCCAAAGCCTGAGAAAATCCAA